CCTTCATGGCTCTGTACTTGAACCTGTGTTCTTAATTTTCATCAACAATCTTCCCAATGTCATCAGTTGTCAACTCTGAATCTATGATGATGACAACTATTTAATCCTGTCTTAATTAAGTCTGGTTGGTTTGATAAACTGATTTCCAAAATAACCAACAATCTGCTGTTAATTGGGGCAAGGAATAGCTTGTTAATTTTAATGTCTCCAGAATGTAACTTCTCTCTATTAATCATCTGAGAGAACCCATTCTGCCTCCCATCAGCATGGTTGATGCTAATCTTCAGGAGAGTGTCTTGTTGTGCTTTCTTGGGCTAAGATTCACAGCTGACATGATATGGAAAGATTATTGAATCAATTGCTAGGTTTGTTAGTTTACTCCGTTATGCTAGATTTTGATAAAATTATCTCTAAAATCTATCTTACACCTTTATAAGTCCGTGCACTGAATATGGCTGCCACATCCATTTTGGTGCTTCTGCTATGCATTTAGAGATTCTTAATAAAATCCAAAGAAGAATCTGCAATGTTATCAATAACCTGGTATCTTGACTTCAGTCACTTTACCATTGCTGTAATGGAGCTCTCTCCTGCACCTTTTCTATGAATATTTTTATGGTAATTGTTCTGATGAGCATTGCTCTTTGGTACCTAGACTTTACATTTTAAGTGCAGTACTAGATTGGCAACAAGGTCTCATTTTGCATTTGAAATGGCTAGACGTAACTATGTTCTATGCTAACAGTTTCTTTTCTTGCACTTTTTGCTTGTGGAACTCTTGTATAGTTTCTTGCTTTCCAGCCAACTTTGATCTTCAAAACTTTAAATGCAACATTAATTACTATTTACATTATTCAGACTATTGTCTACATCTTTGTTGCCATATTTATTACAACGTTTCAGCTGTTGTATTCTCCGGCCTTCTACAAGTGGTTAGAATGTCTAACTTAAAACCCTTTTTGTTCACTGGGGTAGACTGTTCTAGTTATATGTGCCATGTCTAATGGATGTCAGTTATCAGTTATCTCATGTTAATTCTTCTCTCCTTAATCAGGTATTGAACTTACACTCTTTGGGGCCTGTCATCTAACTAATGCCTTTATCCACTGTGCCATGTGTCCTTGGAGACATTTGTGTATGAATTTCTGTGTATTATAAACCTAATGTCTTCAGCAACAATTTTTTTTTACCAGTTCTCATATTGCAATTTTGTTGTTATTATCGCTTTTCTCTGGCACTCCTTATTACTGGTTCCCATATTGTATTCATTTCTATGCTTGGTCGGCTCGGGAGATTTTTGTAAATAGTGTGCATAATACCTCATCTCAGAAATATAGACAGATGCAATGTTAATTGTAATCTTTTGTATTCTCTCTCTCCTTAATAAATGTTCTTTTTCTCACATTCTTTCATATTCTGTAACCCCTTGTGTCTTAGTGGCTTTATTGCCTTACTTGGAGTGAAATATAAAAGATTTATGATTTATGTTATTATAACAGCGGTATATCTCATTAATATATAGGAAGATGAGGTTGTTAATAGATTGCTTTTTTCTTTTCTTTCACATTAGCTTTCTGTGGATATTTTTTTTTTTACATTTAATGATTTAAAAAGCAGAGGTCTTACTTTGCAGAGAACAACCAATGTAAGTATAAAATTACTTTAATTCAGATGACATTGGGGGTGAGGGCAAAAGAGGTAAATAGTAAGTAAGAATAATATGTATGGTTCAAGGACAAGAGCTGTAGTACAAGTTGTGTACTTATGTCTAAACAATTTCTAATTACTAAACATTATGATTACTCATAAAATTAGTATCTGTCTATATTTTCAAGATGAGGTATTGTAAGTATTTACACCATTTTCGTTGTTCTGACTATTATCACCTTGGCTGGAGCATATGGCCCAGTGGATAAAAGCATTGGTTAAAATAATCCATTGACTTGAAGTCGTTGTCAGTTCAATCCTAGGCTACAGCAGAGGTGAACAAAACTCGGAGAGTCTGTCTATATTTCTGAGATGAGGTATTATGTACAGTATTTATATTAGTCGGACTATTGTCCTCATCTTTGTCGCCATATTTGTCACAATGTTTCAGCCGTTGTACGCTCCGGCTTTCTTCAGGTTGAACCAAATACACAGGCATAGTGGATAAAGGTGTTGGTTAGATCCAGTGACAGACCCAAAGAAGGTGAGTTCAATACCTGGTTAAGGCAGTGGAGAACTTTCAGAGGGAAAATTAGCAGGAGATAACTGATAACTGACATCCATCAAACATGGCACGTGGAACTAGAACAGTCTACCCCAGTGATCGAAATAAAGGGTTCAGTTCGAAATTCCAACCACCTGAAGAAGGCCGGAGTGTACAACGGCCGAAACGTTGTGACAAATATGGCGACAAAGATGAGGACAATAGTCCGACTAATGTAAAAACTCGGAGAGTTGAGTTACTAAAGGGAAATAACTGAAACTGAAATATCAAGAAAAGGCATGGTATGTGGAACTAGAGCAATGTAACCCATGGACAAAATAAAGGGATTGGTTCAAAATTCCAATGTATATCACCTGAAGATGGCTGGAGTATACAATGGCCGAAACATTGTGAATATGACAATAAAGATGAGAACATTAGTCTGAACAATGTAAATAGTATATAGTCATAAAATTAGTTTTACTCTTTCTGCATTCATTGATCAAACAGAATTACTGTTGATTGAAATTTATATCCTCTTTCTCTCATAACAGTTTTTCAGGAAATTAAACTTCTCAAGTCCAGTAAGTGTTATAGCTCTTTCTAGTACTTATGGAAGTTTCCTTTCTAACCTTTTGTTTAATGCAACATAGAAAATCAGCATCTTGATTATATGGATTAAAGAAACAGGTTGATGACTATGCTCTCGCCAAATATGGCAACCAGTCTAAGAAAAGGAACACAGAATTACAAACTGGAGAAGGCAACAGGTAATCATATCACTATATTTCCCAAGAATTCTATATTGAATCCATTGCTAGGTTAGCTGCTAAGAAATTTGGTTCACTGTCTAGTGCGAGTCAATTTTTCTCTCCAGAATCTATCTTACATATCTATAAGTCTACCATTTGTCCAAAATATTTGTTAGAATATTGCTGGCACATATGGTCCGGTGCTTCTGCTATTTATCTAGAGCTCCTTAATAAAACCCATAAAAGAATCAACAATATTATCAGTCCTGATCTGGTGTCTCGGCTTCACTCACTTAGAAAATTTCTCAATTGTATAGTCATAACCTTCTATGGTAACACCTAAAACAATCTTGAATGAAATTGAGAGCCAGTTTACTGCATTTTCAAATATATAGAACTAATATGTAAAACACTATATTTTGAGGGGATTCCATATACAGTAAAAAGAGAAGTAATATTATAAATGATGCAGAGTACTAAATGTTAAAAAATTAGTTAAACTTACTCTCATATGACTAATCTCTTTTCCTGCTGCATTGTAGACATAAAGAATTGGTTTTGTATTTGGCACTCTTCCCGTTTTGCTATCATCTCGAATAATGGCTGGAAAACAAAAGAAAAATTAAAATAATAAAAAAACAATGTCGAACAATATCCACCATTATTTTAAGACAGATAAGGTTCAGTTTGGTTTATTTCTTTTACAGCATATCAACCTCAATGGGTTATTTAATGCCCACAAAGTTTTTAGGATATGTTCGTACTAACAGAATATGTATTCTTTGTAAGAAATGAGTTTGTAAGTTTCATTGATGTATTTTTGTAAAGATGTTTTTTGTCTAACATCAAATCTATTGCTGGTAATATTTTTTTTTTCAAAGATGTATTGTTGGTATTTTTTTCCCAAAATGTATTGCTGGTAATATTTTTTTTTTAAAAGATGTATTGTTGGTATTTTTTCCCAAAATGTATTGCTTTTTTTTTTTTTCAAAGATGTATTGTTGGTATTTTTTTCCCAAAATGTATTGCTGGTAATATTTTTTTTTTTCAAAGATGTATTGTTGGTATTTTTTTCCCAAAATGTATTGCTGGTAATATTTTTTTTTTAAAAGATGTATTGTTGGTATTTTTTTCCCCAAAATGTATTGCTGGTAATAATTTTTTTTTCAGCTGAAACAATTCCCCTGTATAATTTTAACATCCTGCTTATGTATTAGGGTGTTAAGTTTTTGCTTGACTGGTTTCTGTTTACTGTTTGAAGTGTCTATAGTTCCTATGCTCACTGGTTTGTTAGCACTTTGTTTCTTGTCATGTTTTATTCTTTGGCAGTCTTTTGTTTCTTCTTCTCTGGCCTTGTTTTATTTGTTTTTTATTGGGTTCTTTTGGCAATCTTTGGATGATGATCGTTCCCTTATTTGAGGTGAGATAAAGTTTCGTTCATCTACGTTCATTTTTCTTGGTTCTTCAGTGATGTACTGAGTTGTATTATTTCTTTTATGAACCATTTCTTTCTCTTGTGAATGTTTGGAGGGTACTATTTCTTGAAGGATTTTTGTACTTTGGATTGGAGTTTTTAGAATTATTTGTTTTGTACATACAGATTCTTTTAGTTTGAGGTTGACAGTATAGGATTTGCTTTGACTATGGGTATTTGGTTTATATGTGGTGTTATAGTGAAGAAAACGGTGACTTACCTCGTCAAACCAAGTGACAGTGCGTCGCGTGTATTCTACGACAGAAAATGTGACGAAAAAGAAAATTACTTACCAAACAAAAGGGCACATATTCAGCATGACATGCTGAAGATGGAATATTTGAATTAAAAAACAAGTCCATTGCAGGAGTTGCTATAAAGTATGTTGATATGCAAATTACTGAACATCCTCTCCCAGCTGTCGATGAATTGAAAAGAAAACGTTTGGCCGATAAAAGCAGTTGGTGTTCTCGAATCGGGGTGAAAAAAGTCAGTGATTTTGGCTGCCAAGGGAGTTATTTTTCCGACTGGTTGCGTGCATTGTGATTTGTGAAATAGTACTTGCGAATTGAGTTTTCGGCATTTTCTTTCTGTCTGCGATGTTCGAGTCCGAACTTAGTGATTTATTCTCGGCGAAGTGGAAATAATCTGCGGCAAACATTTCCTTTGCAATCCCAGATCATTTACAGGTATACTAAATTTTAGTAGTTCTATTAGTTTTTTTAATTCATTTATTAGAGTTGTAGTTCCTGGTTTCTTATTGTGTTGTTCTCTTGTATGTCATTTTTGTGATTTGTAATTTAGGAGTAATTGCGTATGATGTTGAAAGTGAAGTAGTTTTGACCTGTCTTCTAGCTTCTTGGAACGAGATGTTTTGTGTGTATTTTATTCTTATTTACTTTTTCTTTTTCCAGCTGTTACACTCTTTAAAATCTGTTGAGTGGTTTTGTTTGCAGTTTGGGCATAAAGGAGGGCCTTTCACAGGGCGACTCTTCATGATTGGACTCAAATTCCCCACATCTTTGACAGACTTGTATTCTCATACATTTATCTTGTAGAAGGCTAAATTTCTGACATTGATAGAGATTAGGGATGTATGGTTCTACCTTGAATATCGTGTATCCTGTTTTTATTTCTTTCAGTAGGGTAGGTTCATTGTATGTCAAAATGTATGTATTTGTGTCTATTGATGTGCCATTTCTTTTTATTTGTATTCTTTTGATATCTGTTGTGCCTTGTTTTTTTTTAGGGTGTCATTATTTTTAATTTCTTCCAGTGAGAAGAGTGAGAGTTCTAGGCATTTTATTATATAGGATATAAAATCCTACATTTTAAAACTGGGAAGCACAAATAAGTAGAAAAACGCACAAAAAAATAAGATAAGAATTACTGAAGAAAAAACTTTGGTACAAACTAGTAATAAAATTCAGATAAAAAAAAATTAAGTTGTTTCTAAAATTTGATTGGCCAAAACAACCACATACCACGTTTACAAATATGTGCATGTATTTGAACTCCAAATAAACTGGTCATTAGGTACTATTCTGCCTAAAATTTAAAGCTTTTGTTTGGAGCCTATCACATGACAAAAAACGTATATATTCATAAAGTGCATGCACCAAGGGAGTTAGGAAAGACCAGAGAGCTAAGATAGGCAGAGAAACATCCACCGTGCCAGGCTCTACTAAACTCTTGCCACAGTGACCTTGAGTTTCAACTACCATACCAATCAACACAAAGACTCTTACACACTCATTTAAAAATAATAGCTGTGGCCAGAAAAAGCAGTAAGTTATTTCTATCTTGTTTTTTCACATTTTGGGAACTAATGAAGACAATATTCATGCACCCACACATGTATTTCTACTAATGTGCTTCAACCACACATATTTACACTTTCAGCCAACAGCCACATGTATGTTCCACTAATGTGTTTTATCAACACACACACACATTCAATTATCAGCAGTCACACATACACTGTACTAATGTATTTACCAAAGCACATGACTATATGTTCAATTCCTTAACACTAGGAATGCTGCCAAACATTTGAACTTTGGTCTTTTGTGACCAAAACAAACTCAACATTTTCTTGTGTAAATAATCATTATCAACCTGTATATAAATGTGTAATTATGCCGATCTGTTTTTGTCTTTGCTAAGAAATCATTTCTTTGTGTTTTGTTATAATTGTCAGCACAATACTAGGATTATAATTTTCCACTTTTAATCTGGGTAGACTGACCCCAAAATTACTCCCTTAGAGGAGTTAAGAAACTGGTAGAGATAAGCCTTTACTTTCATGTTTATTTGATCGATTTTTAATGTATCTGTCTATATTTCTAAGATGAGTTATTATGTACATTATTTACATTATTCAGACTATTGTCCTCATCTTTGTCACCATATTTATTATGTTTCGGCCATTGTACACTCCGGCCTTCTTCAGGTGGTTGGAATGTTGAACTGAACCCTTTATTTCGATCACTGGGGTAGACTGTTCTAGTTCCACGTGCCATGTTTAATGGATGTCAGTTATCAGAAGTTAATTCCCCTCTGAAAGTTCTCCACTGCCTTAACCAGGTATTGAACTCACACTCTTTGGGTCCTGTCACTGGATCTAACCAATGCCCCAAGGACACATGGCACAGCGGATAAAGGTGTTAGATCCAGTGACAAGACCCAAAGAGTGCGAGTTCAATACCTGGTTAAGGCAGTGGAGAATTGGAGAGGGGAATTAACAGGAGATAACTGACAACTGACATCCATTAGACATGGCACGTGGAACTGCAACAGTCTACCCCAGTGAGCGAAATAAAGGGTTCAGTTCGATATTCCAACCACCTGAAGAAGGCTGGAGCATACAACGGGGAAAATGTAATAAATATGGCGACAAAGATGAGGACAATTTAATTTGCAGTGTAACACCCACACTCAGTTCGCATTAAAAATTTCCAAAATATTTATATTTATGTGTAATTGTACATTTTCCAATTAAATCTGGCTTGATAAATTTGATAAAATCTACCATTTTGGAGTTATTGATAGTGAAATTTGTGATTCAATCACGTCATTGGCAGCTGTCATTACTTGTGCTATTTGCATATATTTGCTGTAGAAAGCTAAACGCAGAAGGCAACAGAAAGCTGAGCTCGGAACTAATCTTTCTTGTCTAAATTTGTCTCAATTACTGCACATAAGAACTAATTATATAGACATGCCCAGTTTGAGCAATGATAACTTCACTGATAGCTATTCTGCAGCAAATGTATACAAACAACACCTGTAATGGCTGCCCACGATGCGAATGAATCCAAACTTTCACTATCAATAACTCCAAAACGGTAGATTTTATCAAATTTATCAAGCCAGATTCGAATGGAGCATGTACAATTACACATAAATGTAAGTATTTTGGAAATTTTTAATGTGATCTGAGTGCTGGTGTTACACTACAAATTAACCAAAAAATTAAAAAAAAAAAAAAAAAATGACTTTTTAAAAATGTACTTACCTATCGGTCCAGCAAATTGTGCAACTGCTATTTTGCTTTTGGTAAGATCAATATGTATCTCAGATGCCCATTCCATTGAATAAATTTCTGTTTTCCTTTAACGAAATAGAAATTAAAAACTTAGGATTGTAATTAATTCTAGTATTGCATTCTATAACAAGCACAAATATTATTACTAAATTTATTTTAAAATTAACTGAAAATATATACTTTTTAAGGAAATCTATGACAAAGTGTAAAAAAGTTTTAAAAACGTAGTAAATTTGGACCTTCATGCCTGCAAAAAAACTATGTGTCAAAAAGATGGTTTTTCCCTTGACACTGCTATTATTTTAACTACCTTCACTCCTCTGCAATATTAATTGTTTCAAAAAGTGATAATTAAAATTGTAATAAAACCTAAACATATGAAAATTAATTTATACATTTTCTGTCATTGATAATTAATAACAAAATAGATCATTTATTTATGCTAATTATTAGGTTATTTATTTTAAAGATTGACAAAACTTTGGTAAATTACCAATTAATTCAAATTTTATAAAATGGTAAATAATAAGAATTTCCTTATAGTTGGTTCACATATTTTAATAATTTAATAAATGTTTATAAATTTAGGAATAAAAAATTGTTTTCACATTTATTTCTTTATAAATTGCTAAATGATAAATATTACTTTGTATTAGTTTTTAGTATGTTGTAGATATAAAATTATTCTTGTAAATATTCATATGTAATTCCCTTTCATGTATAAATTCACTTTAGGGTTTTTTACAATTCTAATCTCTGCTTTTTAAAATGATAAACATTGCGTGGGAGTGAAAGTAGTTAAGAGAACAGCAGTGTCAATAGAAAAACTGTCCTTTTGACACTTCATTTTATTATGAGCATGAAGGTTTAGGTTTGCCAAAAAATAATTAGTAAGGCGACTTTCAACAATACGAATGATGCACTCTTTTTAAAAAGTGCATACTGTAAGAAAGCAAATAGATATCTAGATATATGAAGAAATCTACAAAAATAAGCTGCATCTGTCTGTGGTATAATGGCTAAGTGTCATTTTTAGTGGATGGAAGGTACCAAATTTGATTCCTGATACAGGTGCTACAAAATATATAGTTAAGTTGTCATTGTCACTACTAGGTTAGTATCTTGGCCCTACCCTTTCACTGTCGAAACGGTTAAATCTAGCCGTCTCTTCTACTCCAATAGCTTCATGTTTTGCATTTTCTGTCTGTGGAACTCCCTTTCTCTTACTTGCTTCCCTGATAGCTATAATCCCCAAATATTCAAATGCAATGTCAAATGCAATCTCCAAATGCCTTGATCTATTCCCCGTCTTTCTCTTCATCCTTTCCTCTATCAAGCCTCTTTACTCTTGCTCCCACTCTCTGTAACCCCTTGCGTGCTAGTGGCACTCCTGCCTTGCTTGGGGTGAAATGCTTAAAAAAAAAAAAAAAAAAATATATTATATATATATATATATATGACCAAAAATGTATGCAAGGGTACAATCTCTGTTGTCTCCACTACTTGAACATATACACCAAAATAACTTGCCATTTGGGTTATACACATTATTATTTTACTACTGTTCACCTACTATAGGGTTCAAGAGCCATCCAAAGCACTGGGTCATGTTGTAATGATTTTCTAAGTGTAGCTTAGCACAAAGCCGAATGTATGGGGTACCTAGTGAGGACCAAACTCACTATTCAGTTGCAAGTGTTTTAGTGAGACAAGCTTGCTAACCATTATACCACACTGAGGTACTCCAGAGTTATGTTGTAAGGGTGTACAGAGAGCGTTTGGTTTGGTTTATTTTGTTTAACGACATATCAACCTCAATGGGTTATTTAATGCCGACAAGATTTTTAGGATAGATTCGTATGAATAGAATATGTATTCTTTGGTTTATTTTGGTTTGGTTTATTTTGTTTTATGGCATATCAGCATCAATGGGTTATTTAATGCCGACAACATTTTTAGGATAGATTCGTATAAATAGAGTATGTATTCTTTGGTTTAGATTGGTTTGGGTTATTTTGTTTTACAGCATATCAACCTCAATGGATTATTTAATGATGACAAAAAGTTTTTATTGCTGGTAATATTTTGTTTTGTCAAAAATCTGTTTCTGGTAATATATTTCCTTCAAAAGTGTATTGCTGGTAATAATTTTTTTCAAAAAAAGTATTGCTGGTTAACTATTGGCCCATAGCTGGGACCCTAACAGGTGCTACCACCCCAGGTCAGGGTAAACCTGGGAAGACCAGCAATTAAGAGGTGGTTCCACGCTCATCAAAACCTCCTGATCAGAGGCCTTGCTGCTGGAGATAGTTTAACATCTTACCCAGGACGTGGATGTAGTTTAATGTCTTACCCAAAACAAGTACAGAGAGGGAGCAAGGGGTTTATATTATGAGGATATATAGGACAGATAATAGTTGATTTGAAAAGGCCAAGATTGTAATGATCAAGGAAGCATTTTCTCAGGAATCTGTCCCACAACACAACAGTTCTGGGGAGAGGAAACTGTCCGAGTCAAGCTTCTTCTTAACTAATAGAATATGAAGAAAATGAGGAGGAGTTAATTCAGTATACATGACAGGTCCTAGCTGTTAAATACGTTTCCTCTAAAAAAAAAAAAAAAAAAAAATCGACCACACACTACAAAGTGATGTCAGTATGCACTAGGAATTGTCCGATGAAATTGAAGGTTAGAGAAAGAAAAGTTATTGAAAATGAAAGTTTTAGGTTATTAAAGTCAGTTATCAAGCAATTCCACCATTGAGTCAATTATGTTATGAAAACATCAATAAAAATAGTGGGGGTGGGGGTAACACTGACACACTTTATCCTCTTTGATATATATTTTTTCTTTGTTTCAGAAATAAAAAAAAAAATACTAGTTCGATCACTGATTTTGAGAATTGTACATTTTCACCCACACCCCCATTTCATAAAAGTCTCTGGGAACTTATAGTACCATTGTTTCGCAGTTTTGTTTGTAAACAGCTTTGCCTATCGTCTGGTTCACACTCCTCCTCAAGCTTTTAAATGGGAGTAGTTTATGTCATAAACTTTATTATATCCCTTGTTTCCTGTTTAGGATTAGGTTTTCACTTCCCTCTCTAAAGTGTATTTCAACTCTAATGTCTCTGCCTGGACTCTGAAATTTTATTTGCTAATTAAAAAATCGTGACCTCTTCAAGTCTAGAATCAAGCAATGTAGCTTACCTTAACATCTGCTATGAAAATAGTGATAAGCTAACAAATTTTCATCTGTGGGGCAAGTGGTGGTAGGGTGGAAAACAATTTATCACCCACAAAGGCATGCAATCACTTTTGAACTTAGTCCAAAAACTATAAAAAAGAAAAAAAATTTCTGGTGGCCAAGACATGTCCCTTCAGGATCTATGTTATAGCTTTTCACAGCTTCTTTTTCTTTCAATGTCTGTAAACTATGTATTACAAACAATGTTCTCATGAAAAGAATATAGAATTTTGTTAAACATTTCATCTATGCTTCAAATGCATGAAGAAAAGTCTACTCAGACAGCTTTTCCTCCAGTAACTGCTATTTTGTAGAACAGACTCCTGTGTGAGTGCTTTCCTAAACACCTCAATCCTGACCTCAAGTCAAGGATCAATTGTCATCTTTCCTTATCCTTATAATTTTCTTTTTGTACTACCCTCTCTCATTAATATCACACACCTCATTCATCATTATCATTTTAACTGTAATACTCTACCTTGAGAGGCTTGAGTTTTGTCACTAAATGGCATGAAATATTTGTCCTCATTAGTTTTATTTTGTTTAATTAGGAATTAATCAGACTGATGGAAATTAAGACTTGTTTTGTTCAGAGAAATGCTTATTGATATGGCTAAGAAATTTAATATCTGTAAATTGTGAATTGCCATTCTTGTTCTGAGGTAGGGTCCCCTAAAGTGGCTGATATGTAACACCTCGATGTAGATAAGTAAATCATAGTAACTCATGACTAAAACTAATTAATTTCCAACCAAATATCAGTACCCTTGCTATTGTTCACCAGACACATCCTTTCTCATTATCTCAACCAATTAAATTAAAAGATACAGTAATTTATTTTTAATGTGTCTTATTACTTACATTACAAAGTTTTTCTCATTAAAGGCCGAGAATCCTTTATCCGAAATTCTTGGGACCTGAAGTGCTTGTTTTCAGATATTTTTTGATTTTGGAATACAGGCTATTTAATTTGTATATAACATCTATAAAATGGGGCAGCTTGGGAATGGATGGAACTCAAGTATAAACATGATATCTCTTTAACACAGCTTATGTATATACCCTAAAGATAGTTTTATATAAATAACACATACCCTGAAATTAGTTTTATATAAAATTTAATAAATTTTGTGTACATACAGTTAATGATGCTTGTCATGTAATGCTCACACAGATTTTTAAGTGGTTAAATTAGTATTTCATGCAAAAATAATATTTCCTACTTTCTGTATGTGAATAAAAAACATGATCACTATTTACAAAAAAACATAAATGCAACAGCAAAAACTACTTCTACATGTGGTGTAGGAGACTGGAGGGAGAGGCTATGTCATTGATGACATCAATGTGAGAAGGAAAAGTCTTTAAGCTATCAGTCTCTACCAACGATGTTGTGTTTTGATTAAAATGGTACAATACATACAGGTACATTATTTGTACAAAAACAAAACATGGATTCTGATTACAATTAAATGTAATGAAAACTGAAAAAAAGTCTGCATTTTATTTTTAACACTGTAATGCAATAATTATGCTACAGGTAGCCATGCTGCTTTCTGAAATTTTCCATTTAAAAAACTCTTGGATATTGGAGGTTTTTGGATAAAGGATACTCAACTTGTATTATTTGACCAAACAGGTCTCGTATAAGATGAGAAATAGAAAAGGTTTTTTTGATGGATTGGTTTTCTTTAAATAACCTGCAAAAGTTTGATAAGACAGAAAATATTTTTTAAATTGTAATAATTTTAGGGAGATGATAATTATTTACCGATACAAGTCCGACTAATTAACCCATAGCAGGGGGGGAGAACAGCTGGATTCATACTTTTTCCAAGGGTATTTGTGCATAAGTGAATATAACGAACCTGACTAGAATTGGAACTTGGCTCTCCAATTTCCAATTCCAAGCTGTTATCCATTACACCATCCACACATCCAGCACCTGGTATTCCCAAGTGTTTATCCTTCTAGGTACTGACCAGGCTTGATGTTGCTTAACTATGATGATTTTTATGGCAATAAACCAAATTGAAAAAGGAATAACAAAATGCAAAGCTAAAATGAATCTTATCGAGAAACAATACAGAAAGAGGAGGACAAAAAAAATTTCTACCCTTAAATAAAAAATAATTATTATCAATTTTTTTTGGTGCATGCCTGGATGGGGGAATGATGAGGGTTAAAAAATTTCATGAAGTGTTTGAAGAGCTAAAAATGTTAGGATCCCTTGTAGCAATCTCCCATTGATTTCTGCATTGTTTTAATTTCAGAGATGTCCTCAGGTCACATGATTTAATTCCCTTCAATAATTATGTCAAAGTTAAAATTTTATTTTTGTCAATGTCTTTGAAAGCTATGATTGATTTTCTAGGAAGTGTTGAATGTAGAACTTTTGCTAGGCTAATTTTCTAAAACCTTAAGAAAAAAAACTAAAAATACTTCAAACTTCAAAAATTAAAATCAAACTTAAAAAGGTATTTAAATATTGAGAAAAAAATTGTGTAGTGTAACAAGTTAATAACTTCTTTCCATTTTAGAAAAAAAAAAAAAAAACGTTAAAAAATATGTAAATATTTTTAGTTAATTCAAAAAAGAAAGCTTTATTAACCTTAAGTTAATTAATCTATATCCAAATTTCTACAATAAAAGATTACAATCAAATAAATTGTTCTGTTAAAAAAAGTAGGTACGGTGCTAATTGCACCACTGGGAATGAAAGCTCCTTGGGGTCTTATGAAATTTCCCATTTTCTTTATTAGTACTTTTGGTGTTTGAACTAATTGACAGTTTCAGCCAGTACATCACGAGGGAGCATTTCATTTTCCCATATGCACAAAAAAAGAAAAGTTTTTTTTTTTTTTTTTAAAAAAAGATCGTTTCAGTATTCTTCTTCTTATTATTATTATTATTATACATAAATTTGCTTGTTCACAATACATATGTGATGTTGTTCATTGCTGAGGACCGATTGTCAAGTCTTTTCAAATCACCAGCACCTTCCCTAGTATCCTTGCAGATCCAAGCAATGTCGTCGTTTAGATTCGCATCCTTTCCCTGGATATTCAACTGATACAACCTCAATTCCAATGTTTCTGGAACAGTTCCAACATTGGAAATCCATGAAAAAAAAACACACACAGTGACATTTTTAAAGGTACGATGCAAGAAGGTTGTCAGAAAAAGAAAAAAAAGTTTTTTAGAGTTTTCGTTCACAAAGAGAAATAAACCATAGATTCTCTACAATATTTCAGTTGAAAAGATAGAATTTGATTTTAAACAAAGGCTCAACAAATTACTCTTCTTTGCAAGTGTCAAAATCTCTTGAAACAATTTCATGGAGCACCAGATATAAGATTAAAGTACGTACTAATTGATTGAATGAATGTTATTGTAGTGAGAATTTAATTTCATTTTTTTCTATTTTCTATTTAAATCGAGTTTTCAGATGATTGAAATAAGATCCGGGTTTGTTTATTTATCGAAAACTTACTTCAAGCTAGTAATGCTTTAAAACAATAAATTACATAGCAAAGAGGGATTTTTATTTTTATTTATTTCTATAATTTACGTGATATAATCAACTGAAAATAGAAAGCAATAAAAGTAAAACTGCATCGAAAGTACAAGCAACCAGCTCGTGATTATTTATAACCTTTGTTTGTGATCACAAAATAAAGAACTTGTCGAATATTCAAGCACAACTTATTTCGGATAAGATTTTATTTATAATTCTATTATTTACCTGTAATAAACATCTCCAAGAGGATTCCAATCGGCCGTAGCCATACTTTTTTTTAAAAACTGAGCTGCTAAAATTCCATAAACAACACCCACCCAGTTCACCATTACAGTAACACCGAAGCGGAAGGGAGATAACTCAAGTAAAAAATTATGCAAATACTATCCCTATCCTTTTTTAAAATTTAAATAAATTTTATATATATATATATATATATATATATATATATATATATATATATATATATATATATATATTAGTTCCAACATTGGAAATCCATAAAAAAAAAAAAAACACAGTGACATTTTTAAAGGGTACAATGCAAACAAGTTAGAAAAATAAAATAAAAAATTTTGTTTGCAAAAAGAAATCAAACAGAATATTTAAGTTAAAAAGGAAGAATTCGTATAATTAATTTAATGATTACTTTTTTCTTATTTAGATGAGGTTATAACGGAAGAAAAAAAGCTAATTAACTATTAATCTGTTTAGTAATTTAGCAGTTGGAGTTTAAGCTCAAAGTGAATCTTTTTTATTCAAATAAAGTGATAAATCACTGATGAAGCTAGTATTTTAAGTTTAATCTCATTTATTAACCATTTGTTTTTCTCTCCATATTTTTTTTGATTTGATCATAATGTTTAGGGTAACTTTTTCTATGCACACCGGAATCAAGAACTAAACATGGCGGACAAAACAGAAAGATTTGAGTCATTAGAGCATCAACTGGAAACATTTATTGAAACGACACGGCAGATTAGTATTATAGTTTCGGATTTCCAACAACAAGGGCAAAATCTATTAAATCAAAAACTGTAAGTATCATAAAAGCGATATTTTATTATTTTCTTTTTCTATTCGGCAGAAATTTCTGACAATATGGTCGCTGATGTACCATTCCTGTCGATTTGATTTTGAATTGTTTTTTAGCTTTTGCAACGAAAGATTTTTTTTATCCTTCGATTTGCGATGTAATTAATAAATTTAGAATTTTTAAGACCTTTTAACGTTTAAAATCGCCTTCACAAATAGTGATTGTTATATACGACTAAAAATAAATATCACAGTTTACCAGTTTTTTAAGAATTTTATTTTTATTTGAATAAAAAATATTGAAAATTAGAGTACGTATTTTTGTTAGATATTGTTAGTGTTCCTGCGATATCTTAGTGATTATTACAAAAGAAAAAAAAAAAAAACTTTAAGTACAGTGATTAGCAAAAATTTCCATCGACAAAACAAGACTTTTTTCTAGTAAAAGAAACATTTAAAAATATACTAGTAAGTTTTAAAATTCTGAGTTTAGAATCGGATAATTTAACTAGAATACGGACAAAAAAATGATGTTGAAACCTTCTGTTTGCTAAAAGAAAAGTAAAAATGTTTTAACTACTAACATTTTGTTAAATAAAGGAAAAAAATGAAATTAGTGAAGAAAAGAAATAATTGAAATCGTGGGTAACTGTTTTGATACGCTAAATCACTATTTGTAAATTTGTATGAAAACAACTTAAATTGATCAACGATTTTGTTTTGCTGACTGTTTATCCAACGACCTGTTAAAAAATGAATTCTGGTCATCAAAATCCCCAAAAAGAATAATTACCACTAACTAAGTTTTCTTGATGAGGAGTTATTTGTTCAAAAAGATATCTATTTTCTCTTTTAAATACGTTTCCTCATAAAAAAAAAATCCCCCCACCCCACAAAGTGATGTCAGTATGCACTAGGAACTTTTCGATGAAACTTAGGTTGGAGAAAGAAAAACTATTGAAAATGAAAGTTTTAAGGTTATTAAAGTCAATCATCAAGCAATTCCACCATTGAATCAATTATGACAACATCAATAATAAAAGTGTGTGTATGTGTGGTGGGAAGTAACACGGACGCACTCCTCTTTGATATATATATTTTTTCTTTGTTTAAGAAATAAAAAAAAAATACCAGTTCGATGACTGACTTTTAGAATTGAACATTTTCACCCACACCCCCTATTTCATAAAACTTCCTGGTACAAACTCATAGTACCATTGTTTCGCAATTTTGTTTTTTTTTTTTTGGTCGTAAACAGGTTTATCGTCCGGTTCACACTCTTCCCCTATCTTTTGAATGGGAGTAGTTATATCATAAACTTTATGCTATCACTTGTTTTTTTCCTGTTTAGGATTGGGTTTTCGGTTCCTTCTAGTGTACTTCAATTCTAATGTCCCCCGCCTGAACTCTAAAATTTTATTCGCTAATTAAAAAATCCTGACCTTTTCAAATCTGTATTTTTCTGATATCGTGCACTTTGATACAACTCCACACAGTAACCCTCTACCTTGTGTGGACCTTAGGCCTTGTATTGAGTGAAAATGAAGGATAAACTGAAACATTTATCAGCTACCAATATGATTTCAAGAAAAAGTTTTTGTCATGAAATTTCTTTTTTCTTTCGCTGTATGAATGGCCTTTAAAATGTCTTTTTGCTTTATTTTATGGAAGATTGTCTAGACTTTCAAAATCTAGATACCTGTAGTTTTCTTTTCAAGCCACTCGACAGGCTCGTTTTTTTATATCATTAAAAATACCATACAACTATTTTTACCTGATCTCCCCACGTACATGAATATGGGCCAAGAACAAAAATTACCTAGTCCCCGTGACCATTGTCACAGACCCCACCTCTCTTAGAAGGTGCTGCCATGGGGATGGAATTGCCGGGACCGGACACCTTCTCCCACCTGAAATGAAGAGAAACTAGAAACTACGTTTTCATCACGATCAAAAGGCCCAGAAGCGACGAGGGAAAATGTTTTATTTTTAAAATGATTCATAAAATTCAAATTTCATTTTTTTTTAAACATAATTGCAGTATAAAAATTAATTTCAAAGTGGATGGCATTTGCCAGTCATTTTACTCGGCAGTAGGCACTGAACTAAATTTTATTCATGAATTTAAAAAATATGAATTCTTTTATGGTTCCTAAATGATCGTTTTGCAAATAAAGTTTTAGAAACTAATGATCTTAAATCGTTTTAAAATCCACATAACTTGAAAAAAACTATAGTTTGCTATTTAAATTATTAAAATTGAAAATTTTAAGATATGAATTTTAATTTAAATCACAAGCTGACAAGCATTAGCATTTTTACTGAACTTTACATGCTTTCTCCCTGTCGGAAAACACAAGAACTCACATCTACCCCCCCCCCGTCCAAAAAAAACCTTCACGTAATTAAATTTCCTGTTCGTTGTATTGATTGTGAATTAATTTTGGCAAAGCAAGTTTAAATAAATTTCCAAAAATGAAATTGAAATAGGAGCTGTTCAAATATATGCAGAAAAAAATATGGAAAATTAATGTAGGCTTTTTGGGGTAGAAATACATTCGGAGAAGAATATATTTTATAATTTAATTTAAATCATTTTATTTTTACACCAAGCAAGGCAATAAAAACCACGAGGATTCAAGGGGTTAGCGAGACTCAAAGAAACTGAGAGGGGCAATAAAAGATCAGAATCCAAGGAGAGAGAAAATGATGATTGACGTTGCATTTAAATTTTTGATGTAACTTAGTTTAAATATTAATTTCCTAAATATTACTCATTTACCCTGTAAAGTTCTTATCCAAATAAATAAATAAATAAATAAAAAAAAAACGATGAGTTACTTTTTTCCGACAACCATTCGAACAAAAGTTTCTAATTTTAGTAGTTTCTCTAATTTGAAATTACCATTTCGATTTCAGTTTAGGATTACAAACTTTTACTACTACTTAAGTGTTTATTTAGAATGATTAATGAAATATTTCATTATATTCTTAAAAAGAAAAGTTTACCTTATTTTAGATATTTTTGGTATAAAAAAATGTCAAGAATTTAATGAGTTAAATTTTTAAAAACCATATATTTGAACTTCTGATAGGGATCAGATAATACAACATTTAAGTATTTAAAGATTATAAATAAAAATGTTTTCATTTTTAGATAAGCAGTTCTCTTAAAAGAAGATAAGCAAGTTTTATTCATTAAAAAAAAATTTAGGCCAAAAAAGTAATGTAATATTTGTAAAACAGAAACCTGTATTCAAAATCTTAAAATTCAAAACTGAACATTGAGTAGAAAAAAATATCATGCATTTAAAATATATTCAAACTTACCAGAATGCATCATTATCAAGAAGTATAGTAATTACTCCTGCTTTTATCATATCAAAGGCTATCCAAAAAAGTGTATTTTTCAACTTCTTGTTATCTCTTGGTGCAGGTGTTGAGTATTAATCAATCTGGAAGAAAGGGAAGAGCCAGCTTATTAAAACCAGAAATTAACTTGGCTAAATGTTTTATCAGCTAAAAAGAAAAAAAATATACAATACTTAATAATTTTAAATTAAAATGTTTAGTTAAAAAAATGATAAATAAATGTTTTTTACCCAAATTAGAACTTAAATTGTCATGGTAATTTTAATATGGCTCGTTTATAGTTGTTTTAAAACTAAAAGTTAGTTAACTTCTGGAGGTTCATTTAATTTTTTTATTTAAATTTTAATGTATTGTTATTGTATAATAAAGCACGTTTTTAGTAATTTGTTGTGTTTTTATAATATGATCTCTTTGAAATAAATTTTGAAAGTTGAAGCTAAAGCTGCTAAAGTTACTACACTACGTACGGTGTGTATGTGGAGGGGACAATTTGCAATAATACATTTTTATTTAATCATAATGCCAAATTTTCATGCAAAAATTAAAAGAAGAAAAATTATTAAGTTTTATTTTTTTTTTGTCTCCGAAAATAATAATTTTTTTTTTTTTTAATATCACAATTGTGCTTTTAAGAAGTCGTTAAAGAAGATGCAACTTTTTTTACCGTACCTTGTGGTTGTGCATTGAAGTAATAATCCTTCAGGACCTTCTGTAATATGTTTTAAACAAGACTAACAACTAGCTCTGCTAGAAACATTTTTTTATAACCTTGTATCGAAAATTTGTACCGAATTAGTGGAGGTACGTACAAGTGAAGTGTCTTCTTTTACTGGACTCATAAATGTTAAAAACTTGTCTCTAA